ATTTCACTTAACACGGGACCCTCTGGGTTCTATTGACTGTATAAGCAAGTGGGTACACCAGAGTGAGTAGTATATATATATATATATATATATATATATATATATATATATATATATATATATGTATGTATGTATGTATGTATGTATGTATGTATGTATGTATGTATGTATGTATGTATGTATATGTATGTATGTATGTATGTATGTATGTGTATGTATGTATGTATGTATGTATGTATGTATGTATGTATGTATGTATGTATGTATATGTATGTATGTATGTATGTATGTATGTATGTATGTATGTATATGTATGTATGTATGTATGTATGTATGTATGTATGTATGTATGTATGTATGTATGTATGTATGTATATATATATATATATATATATATATATATATATATATATATATATATACATCTTGGATAAATCAATATGAAAATGGAAACAACGAGTACCTTAGCTTTTCTGCCTTTTATTCAAGACATCTTCAGAGGCAACTGGATTACATGGACAGAGAGGCTTAAATATACAGGGTGACCTTAAAAACATGAGGTCAGGTCATAATGATGTCATCCACTAATCCCCACACCAACACACACGTAGAGGAGCTTAAGAGAAGGGGGGTGACGTGACTAGTCAGGTCAGGTCAAAAATAAGGGACCCACAAAATAACTATCATACATCTAGATCAAAGGTTTTCAAAGCAATTTTAACCTTGGGCCACTGACAAATATATTTATGTAACATATCAGTTTTGAACTGACCATCACTAAGGTTTATTGATTTTAATTCCTTAATCAAACTAGCTTTCAGATGCTGTTCTGATATTATACTTATGTTGTTTGATTCTGAGCTGCAGTGTTTTTCCTGTTTGTCCTACATAATTACAATTACATTTGCTACATGGAATACAATAAACACTTCCATTTACATTCAAACTTGGGCTATTCCTTATTAACAGCATCTGAAAGCAGTGCCTTGTTCGTTAATCGAAGCGCTCGTTAACTGAGGGATCACTGTACAGTACAGTATAGGAGAGAAACCATATACAGTCATGCGCTGGTTAACGTCCGACCGAACAACGTCCGAAAGCATATACGTCCACGTCCGTGCCACCCCCCCCTCAAAAAAAACGCTTCCGTGACGCCTGCTGGACCACCACTCCACGACTCCCTGACGGAGACATGATGATCCTCCTCATACTGGTCAGATATTATGTGTTAAAGGAATATGCTTCCTTCCTTAGGCATTTGCCTCCAGGTGTAATGTTAACCTACATCTATTGAGGATAAAATCTTTCACCTACAAATTGACAATAACATATTTTCTATAATCAGACATATCTAGTTGCCTCAACAATTGCAGCCCCAGTTGCAATTCGGGTTGCAATTTCAAATTCTGTGTCATTACTAAGGAATAATGAAGTCTCTGGTGCATTCTAAGATTAAGAGAGAAAACAGAGGACTCAGGCGTCCTGATGTGAGAGAAAACAGACTCGTATGATGGGGGACCAAATAAAAAAAGCATAGCTACATGTTTTGTGGACTACAGTGTACAGTATTGAGCGTTCCCTTTTCATCGCTTTGTAATAAACCTAGCCATGCCTGTGTGTTTATGATATTTACCATAACATTATATATATATATTTAGGTGGTCTAAATGGTCGTAAAATGGGAAACTTGGGGTTGGGTGCCTGGAACCAATTAGAATAAATCACATAGGTTCTGTACTTTCGTTTTCGCGTTTTTCTTTATCACGCACTCGGCGGGGTCCCAATTAGGCGCAATAACCGAGGGATGACTGTACTGTATTGTATTTACTTGTGACACTTGCCAGTTGCTTCTGGTGTTATGGTACAGGGGCACCAAGTGACAGCACTAGGATCCCAATTCCTCTATCAAGGAATAAACAATTAAAAAAAAAACATTCAAATAAAGGGATGTAGCGAACCTAAATGGCCCTAGAGCGGGTACAGTCACATTTGCGTAACTATATATCCATAATATGTTTTCATAGATATAATAAATGCCTATGTTACTGTTTCTGTTTTTTGTCTATTGTAGTGTACAGTACATTACAGGTTGTACCTCTCTAGTCCGGCAACCTCGGGACCTGACCGGTGCCGGACCATGGAAATTGCCGGACCATGGAAATTCACCCTTTTCCTGGTTAGATTGTGACTTGTGCTTATGCCTGGAAGCACTAGCACCACTTTCTCTGCATCATGGTCTCTTTGAAGACATATTGAAGGGTTAAATGTCGTATAGTAGCTTCTCAAATTTCGCGAGTTTTTAATTCTTAACGTATTTTATTGGAACACACAAAAAAATAAATAAATAAAAATTTTGACGGCGGAAACTCGAATTTCGACGGGTTTGAACGGCCCGCCAACGTGCAGACGACGTGCATAATCGTGTAAACAGGGTCATTTCTCTTATGTACAAAAGATTCATTATTGTTTATTACTGAATGTCTTTTTTATTGAATTAATGTTTATATGTGCAAAATGAGCAATACAATTCATTAATAATACGTAGAACATTAAAACACACGAGGAAATGACACAGCATTGTTTTCGTTGATTACCAAACCAGTGACTGACTGGTTCTACATATAAAACTGAAGAAAATAAGACCTTGGTTGTAGCTGTAGTAAAATTAATATGGTTGTTTTAAGTAATGTTATTTAATGTTAATAAATGGAACAATAGAAGTAGCTAACGATAATGGTAAAGAAAAAGAGATCGCATATGTAAGTGCGCATGCGCACACGTGAAAACATATCGTCATTACTTTACATAAGAATATGAAAGCAACACTTATTTACTGTTCATATATATTTTAATTAATGTTTCTGAATTTGTTTTTATTGAATTAATGTACGTGTGTGCAAAATTAACAATACAATTTATTAATAATACGTGGAATATTAGAGGAGACGAGACGGCTGCCGGCATTGTTTATGTTAAAGCTTACGAAACCAGTGACTGATTGGTTCTACATATAAAACTGAAGAAAATAAGACCCTGAGTTTAGCTGTAGTAAAATTAATGTAAAAAAAATGAATATGGTTGTTTGAAGTACCTGTAATGTTATTTAATGTTAATAAATGGAACAATATAAGTAGCTAACCATTAATGGTAAAAAAAAAAAGTGAGACTGCTCGTATGTAAGTGCGCACATGTGAAAATATATCGTCATTACTCTACATAAGAATATGAAAGCAACACTTATTTACTGCTCATATATATTGAAGGGTTAAATGTTGTACTCTGTATAGACAAGCAGAGAGAGAGAGAGAGCAGCCGAACTGCCGGATGTAAACAAACCTTAATTTCCCGCGGCTTTTTTTTTTTTTAAGGGGATTAGCCCACCCGGGCATAGGTCACTGACCCACATTGGGGCCTGAGGGGCAAAAATTTAATACTCCTGTAATAATAATAATAATTCAGATAAGTAAAAAAAAAAAAAAAAAAAAAAAAAAAAAAAAAAAAAAAAAAACATTCAAATAATGGGACCTAGCGAACCTAAATGGCCCTAGAGCGGGTACAGTCACGTATGCATCGCGTATTCTTATACATTGTGCTGCCAGGCGTACGTTATCTAGTGAATTTAGTCAATATTGTACAGTAACAATGGACCTAAGTGCAAACCTGTATTGTACATGTACTCAATGATTACGGTACTAAAATTGTTATGTCTATTGCAAATATAGCTTGTTTATACAGGTATTCAAATAAATTACTATCTTACAAGAATCCCTCCAATGTAAGTTATATTCACCCAGGTCGTTTGGGTGGCAAATTATGAGAAGAGCTTAGTCACTCTTAAGTAATGATAAATAAACACGCAGGCAGGCCTTCAGCGCCAACTGTCAAATCTTATCTCAAATAAATAAACAAACAAACGCCAGACATTCTGTCACCTCACCTCCCGCCCCCTCCCTCCCAGACAAAAGATTGGTGATTTCTTTATGTTTATTTTATATAATATCTCAGACTAAAGTTAGGATAATATAATTTGCATTGCTGAAATCCTTGCAAGACAGAGATTAATTTGAATATAAGCGTCATATATTTTGCTCAAGATATAAAAAATTTAGTACATTAGTGTACAATACTGTAGTACATTTTATAAAAAGTTTTTCAACTGTATTTTTGGGTAGATTTACATAAATTTCTTCATTTATTTTCATCCATTTACATGCACACACCATACTAAAAGAAACGTAATAGAAATAAATGACCTTAGTGCAAAGCTGGAGTGCACATGTACTAATTTGATTACGGTACTAAAATTGTTTTGTCTAGTGCAAATTACAGCATGTTTATATTCAAATTAATCAGTATGTTACAAGAATCCCAGCTATATTAATTATATTCACCCAGGTCATTTCACTGGCTTTTTATAAGAGAGAAGCTTAGTCACTTAAGAACTGATAAATATACACGCGCTAGACCTGGGCCTGTGCCAACTGTCAAACGTACCACCTCCCCTCCCCCCACGCCCCCTCGCTCGCTCCCTTCCTCCCTCCTCCCCCCCCCCATCTGTTCGGCGTTGCTGGAATCCTTGTAAAACAGCGAATAATTTTAATATAAACGGCATGTATTTTGCACAAGAGATAAAAATTAATCACCTATATCACATTACAGTAGTGATTTAAGAGTAAAAGTGTATATGTACGTATATAGTATTCCACATACACGTAAGTATAAATACAAAGTTTATGTGATGATCGGACAACGTCCATTTCGGTTAACGTCACGTTTCCAAGAACGTATCTAGGACATTAACCGGCGCATGACTGTATTTATGAATAATGGGTTATGCACACTCATACTATGTTTTTTAAACTATTTTTATATCTTATTTATTTCCATAAGTGCTGATTGTTTTAGAACACCATGAAAATTAATGCAAAGATTATGAATTTTGAAGTATTTTTAATTTTTATCTTTATCATTATGTGACGTGATGGTTTTCCTCACCCCAGGACGTCATCACTGATCTTAACGCTGAGAGTGAACCTCTTCCTATGGATGCCATCAAGGAGGACTGGCTTGGACACAAGGTTGTATATGTTTTTCTGTTTTATTATACATTCATATAATGTACAAGTTATGTATATTGCATATAGAGGCTTGAATGCATGACAAGGATTTTGCATGAGGTGGTTTATGAGGATAAATTGATTGCTGATGGGCGATGTTAAGTTGTGTAGAATGACAATGGTAAACCGGATACATGTACAGGTAAACCTTGATAAATGATGGGGTTAGGTTCCTGAAAAACCCATCACGAGGTGAATTTTCATAGACAGGGAGCATTAAACATGGGATTCAATGGGATACATTCCCAGCCAGTCCCCAAACACACTTGTATCACTGACAAAATAATTCCTAGAATATTACTATCAGTACAAAACAATTAAACAACACACACCACATCCTGAAGAATAAGTCTGGTTATCATCACATGTCTCCTCCAAGGCTAGAGGGACTTGTAGGTGGAGTGGAGACATCACACTGACTCCCACACACCCTCTGGGGAGTCTCATGCAGCTTAACAATGGTCAAGCTTCAACTCAGAAACATGGTTGTCTTGGATGCCTTGGCCTTCCCAGACATTTTCAAAGTTACACTGCTCACTTTACAGTCACAAAAACAGAGCAAAAGCACTTGTCACAAAAATAGAGCGAATGATGATAACGTAAAAACAATGATAGTGGCCGCCACTGCTCACATTTTCTCACTAACAGAGTCAACACATCTTACAGTCACAAAGGCACAGAAAATGTCACTTCATAGTCACCATAATACAGTTCAATCTAAATGTTAGTGCTGTCCTCTCACTATATTAGGGAAAACACTGATAAGTACAATGTATGAGGCTGGCCTATAATTGTGGAACCATGCGATGGCAGGTTTACGATCGACAAAGAACCAAACAGGGCTGTAGTACGCAGGTTAGCCATGTGGTGGTGTGTGGGTAGACATACAAATTAAGGTAGAGAGGTATGATGCATAGGTTAAATATTGTTTCCTTATAAAATTTTTCTTGACTTGACATAGAAAAATATAATTTACATTGCAAGACAGCAATTAATTTGAGTATATACAACCCATAGTTTGCACTGGAGATAAAAAAAAATCCAACCAATGGATATCAATGGCTATCATTAAAGCAAATTTTTTATCATATATAGCGAGATGATCTTAGTTTATAACCATCGTTAAAACAAAATATCACTGAATGGAATATCGGATATCGAGGTTTACCCGTATTGGGGTTTTATTGTGGGAGCGACGCATGGTAACGGATCACATTTACTGCAGCAATAAGAGTGAAGGATTTATAGTGAGTGATGGGAGTGTATGTGTTTGTTCTTGGCTTCAGCTATCCAGCACTGTTGTGGGAAAGGTTATGTAAGATTGAAAGATTTAATTTATTTATTTATTTACTGTCTATTATTTTCCTTATAAAAGATTTAAGGTTAAAATATTGTTTAATGAGGTTAGGGGTGAGGGGTATATTTAGTAAGTTGACAAAGGAGGAAATTTTAAATTGTTTTGGATGCAGATAAGGAAGGATGTGAATGAAAAATATATATTGTAGTGGAGTGAGTGTTAGGCAGAAAAAAAAAATTAGGCTTTCGGGAAGAAGGGCGAAATGGTGTTTAGGAAATTGTAAAATTCTATAAGGTTCGTGAGATAAAATATCTTGCACTTTACTAAAAAAAAAAAAAAAAAGGTGACACTGCAGGAGTTTGTTTGATTACCTTTTATGCATTTTACATTGCCCAGAAACATTTTGTTCATGACACTGCTCTGATTATTGCATTCTATTTGATCTAGTTCATATTATTCTCTATACAGTTTAAAACTTTATTATTTTTATTTCATATCTGCCAGGGTATGGTGTCTGCAGCAGAATACATTCGTCGCAAACTTCGTGAAGACAACATTTTGTCGCGTGCATTTAGTTTTGATACAACCCGTGGGACACAAATGTATGACCTGGTGTTAGTGGGTCATTCCCTGGGTGCTGGCACAGCAGCCATTCTTGCTATACTCCTGAAGCAAGAACACCCTAACCTCAGCTGCTTTGCATACTCCCCACCTGGAGGACTTCTCAGGTGATATACAGTGATCATAATTTTTCCTTACATTTCCTAACTAAGTATAATTTCTGACTGTAGGAAGTCTTGTACAAGTGATATCTCTGTTAGCCGGAACAGTTGGTGCAGAGCACTTCTGGGTAATGAGACAACTCTCTCAAAGCCGGAAAAAAATCCCTCATCCTTGGAATTTTCCGGGTAACAGAAAAATGTTCTTGGAAGTTCCAGAAATTGCGCATTACATCATCTCTCGAACCCGAAAAATATTCCCCGTCCCTAGAATTTTCCGGGTACAAGAAAAATTTTCTCAGAATTTCTGGAAAATGCACCTGATTTTCATCTCTCAAACCCAGAAAAGACTCTCATCCCCAGAATTTTCTGTAATTTTTCAGGTACTGGGAAATTTTTTTTTAAGCTTCCAGAAAATGTGCCCCTGGGAAGATCATTCCCAAAGCCAGAATTTAGAAACAAAATTACGGCTTTGGGAACAATTTTCCAAGAAAATTTCAATTCCGGTTATCAGAGAGTTCCAGTTAAGAGCGATTCCGGCTAACGGAGATAATGCTGCACAGTATCCTCATTAATTCGGATTTTGGCTTGATTTGTATGTTTTTTGTGTTTTTTTTTTATGAATTGAACGATTTGAATTCAGAATGAATTCAAAATACACTGAGCTGTTCCAAAAGTCACACGGCGATGGTTTTGAAAATTCAGGCTCGTCACTTTGCATCAACTCTGACCACGTGGTTCCCCGGGCGGTCTTGGGATTTCATTCATGTTCCCCAAAACTGCAAAAACTGAACAGAAAACAAATGAATAATCGAACACAAAAATTTGAAAATTGTCAAGTGCAGTAATATCAAAATGTTCCGAACTTGGTTAATTCAGATTTTTCAGTAATTTGAGTAACCCACAGCCTTTTTGTCAATTTAACGAGGGTGTAGTGCACTTCTAGGTGATATTGGAACTAAATTTTAATCATGCAAGTTTTTTCCACTCATGTAAATACAGTATGAGGATGATATTTGATGATATATATAGCTTCATATTCCTCTCAGTTAAACTTTGTGTTTATTCACAGTATGCCAGCAGTGGAGTACACACGAGCCTTCATCACCTCAGTTGTAGTGGGCAAGGATGTTGTGCCCCGCATTGGCCTGCATCAAATGGAGTCTATGAGGGCAGATCTGATAAATGCCATCCAGCGATCCAAGGATCCCAAGGTGAGGCCATGAACATGTGAGCTTTTAAAGAAGAGAAATAGATTGTGGGAAATCTTTCTTTTCTCATATTCCAATATGTACTGTATGTTCATATCACCATAGTAAATCCCAATCATCTCACTGTTTGGTACTTCTTTCATCTTTGTATTCTTTTAATAAAATCTCTGGGATAAATTCAGTTTGTGTTAGGAGTCTTATCAACAGGGATACTTTGAGGTCCCATATTGATGTGTATTTGCTTGATATTAGTGGAAAACGATCAGCTCATCTGTGAGGTGCTGTGGAGCCTGGGAAGACAGTGGAGGGGAAGCAGAGGAGTTCTCCACTACACGAGCAGCTATGAGGGATCATGCCTCACACCCATCAGATGCCTCCATTGCTCTCACCGTCCATCAACCACTGTATCCTCCAGGCCGCATTCTTCATGTTGTTCGACATCACCCCGATAAAAGACAGTGAGTGGCAACTGCTTCTCTGTTGCCTTTTAGTCATAATTTAGGTAATCATTTAACAGGTTATTGTTTTTCTACATGTTGAAATATCTGGAATTTTTAAATGTATTATTTTCTACTTCTTGTCTGACACTGGAAACAATGGGTCTGACAATCCATTCATGAAGTATTTACTTATATTTGCTCATTCTAATGAATTCTTGAACTAAACTAAGGAACTTTGTATCTATACAGAAGAGTCTTTGTTCAGAGCAGCAGCTATAAACTGTTGCCAGTTAAGAGAGAAATGTACATTGAATGTTAATGTTTATGTGTAGGAGGGATCTTAAGTGTGTGTTTTTTTGTGTAACCGTTTCTCCATTTCCAAGCAGACCTCAAACACACCAACGTTCAGAATAATTAGATCACATACTAAATGATACTAAAAGCACTACTTTCGTGCTAAGATGTATGATAAAATACAATAATAATTGGCCCTTTTACTGTCAAATGACAGGATGGCTCATTACCTTCCTCATAACACCATTTCGGCACTCGTTGTACCTTTATAATTCCTTATCCTCTCCTGTCTCCTTACTAATGTCTCGTGTGTATTCCCCTATGTATCTTACTCAAACTCACTCTCTTCATTTTCACATCATCTCTCTTTATCATGTCTCTACAACCTCACTGTACCTTTAATGTTGTCAGTCACACCTTATGAAATATTTTAACATGCTGTTATATCTTTTCTTTTCTCTTAAAACTATTTGCCTATTTTTTTGTCAAATCTGTTTCATATTTACTTTACTGTACCTTATTCTGTCCATTCTGTTGTTAGAAAATTCTCATTCACCAGAGTCGAGTAATAGTAGTTGTTACAGTACTTCCCCTCCAGATCTCACCACAACTGAAGGCTTACAATATTTATCTTTTAATTCAGCAAACATGTAACATTTAGCCATTAATTGTGTTAACCTGAAATAGTTCACCTTCAGTTGAGTTAACCTGTATCAGGTTGCCTTTTTTTCAAACTCTTATCTCCTTCACTCTCCAGAGTTATGGGGTCCCAGAAACACTCAGATCCCCTAATTAATCTCAGTCCAGTTTAACATGACACCTGCAGCTAGACAGCTTAGTATTTTAAGTAAGCTTTTCCACCTAAGCATTAGGGTGACCCATGTAGAAAATGGACCTCAAGAAAAAACAATGTGTTTACTATGGAAAGGGGTGTGAGGGACCATATTTTTTTTATTAGCAGTATATTAAAAGTGGGTCAAAAAGAAATTACATGTAGTTAAGGTCTAGTATCATCCTGCACAGGAAAATTTTGATGCTTTCTCCTACACTTGAAAGGCCAGTTCATATATTTTTTTATTACCTTATGATGTTTTGCATATGTTTGTCTTTGCACAATTCGAGTCAGATGTACCATTGAAGGTTAGGTAATATATATATTTGGCTACTGGCTTTTAATGGAAACCCTGAGGAATATTGTAATCTGTGATGGTCTTGTTTATGATTGAAATATACTTAAAAGAACATACTGTATATAAACAACATTTATAATGAAAGTGTGGTAGAGGAAGAGGTGTGCGGGTTATGTGTAGATCAGGTTTTTTGTATTAATGAGCATAAATTAAATTTTTTTAGATAAGCTGAAGAATTTGTTGGTAGCATTATGGATTCAGAGGAAACACATGATAAAGTAGATAGGAAGGTAAAATGGATGTTATTGAAAAGTTGTGGTAAATATGTAATTTTTTAATGTGTCCAGTGAGTGATGCAAATGTTTAGAATTTCTCAGGAAGTGGGAAACTGGTCCTTGGTGAAAGTAGGATACTGTTATGGTTGATTAATTAGTAATGAAATGGGTTGTGAATAGGTGGTGACTCAGGTGATGTTAATAGATGACAACAGTGTTGGGGGCAATTCATAGGAAAAGTTACAAATTCATGTACTGTATTTAGGAATGAGTTTGACAGAGTGTGTATTATGTCAAAGCTGATAGTGAATGTCAGCAGCATGCATGTGTGCTCGCTCGTTCGCTTTTGTTTCTGACTACCCAGCATTAACTGAAAAAATGTCTGAAAGAGAGAAAAGAAATATTCCGAGCATACTCATGAAAGCATTTTGATTTATTTTCTTTGGAATGTTTATTAGCCCAAGTGTTTATTCATACTTAAAATTTCATTATAAATTTATAAAAAGAGTTCACTAACAAAGAAATTACTGAAAAAAGCATGACTGCATATTTAGTTTTGTGCATATAGTATTAGTAGTTAGTGGTAGCTCCCTTAAGATACTCCTATGGTAGCTATTGGATAATATTAACCACATTTATTTGTGTTAACTAATGCATCATCTAAATGCAGTTTCTTGTGTGTCAGCATGTCAAAAAGTGATGGATATGTGAAGTGATAAGATTTGTTCAACCCAAGTATTAAATGTCTTTGTCAAATTGGCAAATACCGTAGTTATTGTAACAGTCCCCCACCCCCCATTGTCTCCTTTTGTTAATGTGTTCAGTCCTGCAGTCATGTCATGGTGGTTGGATACATTACCTTCCTCTGACATTTTATTGGTGAACAGTTCTGAACAAAAGCAGTAGCTACCAGTACTTGAGACGACTTTCTATGCAGTTTTATTCATTCTTTTGGCTGACACATAAGTGCAGCAGTAGGAACCACTTATTTGAATATTACGATAGGTTGTGTGAAAAACATGTTTTTTGAAAACATGAAAAAATGAGAAAGGAATGAGTTTGGGAGAAGAAATGGCAATTTATGAAATATACTGTAGTGCAGGGTTTGGCAGTTATACTGTATAAATATATTTACATTGTTAGACTTATGGTAGCACCATGTTTTAAGTTTTCAGGCCATATTATTGATTTGTTATAGTGGGTCTTAGACATAGTTGTGGTGTAAGTGTCTATAACATCTTGGAGGCTGAATACTTTTGCTTCATGTGAAAGAATGGCTTCTGGCTTCCATTTTTTTTTTTTTTTTATTAATTTGATTGTTTATCTACTAACATTTTTAATATGTTAAAATTTATTTGGATTTTGTGTGCTTAGTTCACGCTATGAAGATGCACTTTAAATTTCTTTAATGAAAAAATATGAACATTCAACAAAATTAATTCATTGCATTAATAAGCTGCTGTGCTGTCACATGATTAAGCAATGGATTTCATTAATCCTCCATTTCTTTTTATCATATTGCTAGACACAACAGATATATGATTTTGCTTCATATTTTTTGTATTTTTTCTTGGGGGCACATCAGGCAGAAATATGAATCCAGGTGGAGGTAAGTTACAAGCTGTGAATGAAGAGAGTACAAACAGCATCCACATGTTTTGTATAGTTTATCAAGACTTCAGGTTAGTGGAAAGTGTTATACAGTTCATGCTAACTCTCCAGTAAAGTATTGTACACGGAGAGTTTTATGTTCTCCCTCAGAGTACCGGTGATATTTTCTATTGTTTATTTTGTAGTAAATTTTTGAGGGAACAAATAATCTTAAACTTTTATTGTTGTTTTGGCCACTTCCTCGAGTATGTCCCAGGGGGAATAAACATTTAAGAATAGATAGATAGATTATCCTATGAAATGCCAAGGAAAGTCATCATTTTGATCAGATTAATGTCAAAATAAACTTTTGAGTCAGTCATGGAAGCATAACTCTAAGGTGAACAGGACTGTTAAAAGTAAGGTGTTTCCCTTCATGACTTCTCTTACTGATATATTTTTCTACATATTCACACTCCTGCCTTAATTGATGTTTGGTTCACATGTTTTTGTATTGTTTTCTTTTATCAATTTATATACTACATTATAAACTGTACATAATTATCCTCACTTCTCAACTTCCTGTTATACCTGGTTTATAATAGTTCCCCCCCCCCTTTTTACGGGATTAGTCCACCAAACCACAGGTCAATGGCCTACATCAGGGCCTGGGGGCAAAAATTTAAAAACAATGATAATTAATAAAATTTAATAAAAAATTATAAAAAAAAATTAAAAATATAATAATAATAATAATAATAATAATAATAATAATAATAATAATAATAATAATAAAGGACCCTAAATAAATAAAAAAAAATAAAAAAATAGTGAGAAACAAAATACAGTGGTCCCTCGGGTAACGAACAGTTCGATTAACGAAATTTCGGTTAACGAATTAGCTCCCATAAGGATCTTCAATTTGGTTAACGAACAAAACTTCGATTAACGAAATCCTTACGACAAACACGTTTTGTTGTGAGCATCAGCTGATCAGCTAGTCCACCAATACAGTAATCTGTTCTATGTTGACATTCGTTTCCAGTGGAGTAAATATCAAGAAAATTGTGCTCTTTAATATTTGTGCAGTTTTTATATTAAAATTATTGGTCATTCTAAAATTTAGCCATCCGAGCTCTTTCTACAGAAAGTTTTTCAACTATTATTTTTGGCTCGATATATGTAACTTTATTCATTTATTGAAACTCATTTACATGCACACACTGTCCTAAGGGCAAAGCTGAACTGTACACATAATAAAAATAATGTACACAATGATTACTAAAATTTTTGTCGAGTGCAAACTATGGCATGTTTACATTCAAATTAATCACTATCTTATAAGAATTCCAGCAATGTAAATTATATTCTCCCCGGTCACTTCTATGAAATTTTATAAGGAAAAAACAAAACTCAATCTAAAGGACATAAATAAAAAAAAAATACTTCACTAGACCTTCGGCACTAACTGTCAAACATGTCTTTGTCACCCCTCCCTCCTTCCCTCCCCCCCTCCCCCCTCCCCCCAGCAAGGCTTTAAGTTTTTATCTTATATAATATCGCAGACTAAAGTTAGGAGAATATAGTTTGCATTGCTGGAATCCTGGCAAGACAGTGAATAATTTGAATATAAACATCATATATTTTGTACAAGAGATAAAAATTTTAGTACATAGTGTACTGTAGTTCATTTTATAATGTAAAGTTTTTCAACTGTATTTTTTGGTAGCTTTACATAAATTTCTTCATTTACTTTCATTCATTTACATACACACACCATACTAAAAGAAACATAAAAGAAATGAATGACCAAAGTGCAAACCTGTACTTACTGTACATGTACAGTGGGGTATGCTATAACGAATCTAATTGGTTCTAGAACCTTGTTCGTTATAGCATTCGTTCGTTATAGGATTAATCCGTTCCAGGCCCCCAAATACAACCACTTAACACTGAAAAATATAATATAAAATTGTAAAAATTGTAAAAAAATGCATAAATATGCATCTAAACCCCTGAAATAAAGAGTATCATTAATATTTGTAATAAAAAAACAATAAATTAGAAAAAATAAATAAATAAATAATGTTCATTGTAGGAGTTTCATTCGTTATAGCATTCTCAATTTTATAGGTAAAACCGTTCGTTATAGGAATATTCGTAGTAGGATCCGTTCGTTATAGCATACCCCACTGTACTAAATGATTACGGTACTAAAATTTTTATGTCTAGTGCAAATTATAGCTTGTTTATATTAAAATTAATCACTATCTTTCAAGAATCCCAGCAATGTAAAGTATATTCTCCCAGGTCATTTCACTGGCATTTTATAAGAGAGAAGCTTAGTCACTTAAGGACTGATAAATAAACACACATTAGACCTTCAGTGCCATCTGTCAAACATATCACCTCACCTTCTGCTCCCTCCCTCCCTCCCTCTCCCCCAGCCAGGGTCTTAGGCTTACAGTTTTTATCTTATATAATATCACAGACTAAAGTTAGGAAAATATAATTTGCATTGCTGGAATCCTTGCAAGACAGCGAATAATTTGAATATAAACGTCATATATTTTACACGAGATAAAAATTAATCACTTGTATCATTATAGTAGTGATTTAAGAGTAAGATGTATATGTACGTATATATACTGTATAGTGATTTAAGGGCAATTTAGGGGAATTTTAGGAGTGTTTCTGACTTTATGCATTTTTGGCTTTACTTTGTATATACTTTTTTGTGAGCTGGGACCAATATCCCATTGAAATAATGGATTCGGTTAACGAAATTTTCGGTTAACGAGCGACTCTGTGGAACGAATTGTGTTCGTTAACAGAGGGACCACTGTATGTATGTTGTGTTGTCAAAGTAAGAGAAACAATTGAGACCCTGTAATTGTGTGTAAATGAGGCAGAAAGTCAGATCAGCAACCTGGGACTTGGTCACAATTTTTGTGATACATTTGCCTTGACAGGCCTTTTCACATTGATTATATCCCTTTCTTCCTGAAATCATGTTACCTCCCTGAAGTATGAATGCCAGGAATTTAAAGCCAGTCATCAGACTAGGATTTGACTATGTCCTTACTCTTGTAAAGCTTATGACAATTATTTTTACTAAAAACAATATTTTCATCCATACTACTGCTTCCCTTATATCCAGGACTGAGTAGTAAAGTTTGAGTTAATTCTTACTAGTTCCTATGTTTTTCTTTATAATTTGTTTATATATTACCAAAAACTGATGGTTATGTTTAACATAAACAAACAGTGTATCATTCCTTTAAGACTGTAGTGATGGGTTTAGGAGAGTAGCATTTGCTTGACCTTCCATTGATTTGAAGTCTTGTATCACTGCTTATACTGATGAATTTATGCATGATGTCAAATGCTCATTTAAAAGAGATTTTTTCATTCTATGTAAAGATGCATGCTCATTAAACACTATACTGTATGTACCTGCATTTATTGACTGCACTCTTTTATATTTGGAATTACTGTATATCTGCTGAAATACTCCTTTTAAACGTATAATGGATATATTCTCGAATGATGCACTCATCACAGATTATTGTCAGTTGTACTGTACCTGTATTTAATCTCTTTGAAAGCAGTGTAACATATGAATGAATGTCACATGAAGTAGATGTCACAAGCACTTTCTGACAACCATACCAATTTACAAGCTTGAACCAGTAGAAGTTGTTGAATGTGACTCATGGCCTTGGCTTCTACATTTTAAATTTACAAGGGCAAGAAATAGGTATACAGGTATCCCTCGAGATATGAATGGGTTAGTTTCCAAAAAATATTTGTTTGGTGAGTTTTTGTATCCCGAAAAACATACCGGACAAATAGGACTCGGTTCCCCAGTGACAAAAATATCCCAATATCATACCCAAAAACACAAAATCGATTTACAAGCAAGAAAAAAACCTGCTCAACTAATGATAAATAGTTGACAACTACTTTATTGTAATTTACTACTGTACCTAATATTAAAAACATTATAAAATAATATCTAGATTAAAATAAAGCTATTCCTCGACTTACGACCTACTCAACTTATGACCACCCGGACATACGACTGCCACAGTCGTATAAAATATTTTTCAAATTACGTATTTTCGAGTCCCAACATTAGTGATCGCGCTGTGTACTGAAAATTTTTTTTTTTTTTAATTCCCTTTAAAATGGCTGGCATGCTTAAAAATGAGAGTTCTCGTGGAGCTGAGAAGAAAGAGAGACACCCATTTTAGATTTTCTATGTATTATTTTCGCATTTTCAACTTAAGACCAATTCGACTTACGACCTGGTTGTCGGTCCCTAACCCCATCATAAGTCGAAGACTGACTGTATGCAGGTAAAAGCATTAAGGAAAAGCTATATCAAAGTTTAGCACAGCTGCCAGCGGCGCCATTTGCATAAACGCTGCCTGCTTCACGTCATAGCAACCAGCCCGGCCGCCATTGCTGACTCTTAGCACTGCTCCCTCTGCCACTCTCACATACAAAGAAATATTTTTGACCTTATGATAGTAATTATTTCCTTACTTTTTCTGTACAGTATGTATGTAGGTTTGTGTGTATGTGTAACTGATTGAAAAAAAGTGAAGAAGGTTAAGTTTACCTATCCAAAGCTACAAGTTGAAAAATAATCATAACATTACTCCCCCAACTCATCCTGCTAACTCTCACTGGTGCATAAAGAAATTTTTATTCGCTCTATGTTTTGGACCTTGTGATCGTTTTTTTTTTTTTGTATGCATGATTGTGTGTGCATGTAACTCAATGAAAACAAAAATATGAAGAAAGTTATGTTTATGTACCTGAAATTAAGAGTTGAAAAAGCCATTTTTTTCTAA